TGGAAACAATTGAGTGCCCAAGAACAGATGAATGGATTAAAAAACAGTGGCACATCTACATAATGAAATGCTTTGTAGCTATTAGAAAAATTGAAGTCATAAAGTTTGTCTATAAGTGGATGAACATGGGAAGTATCATGCTGAGTGGAATGAGTCATAAGGAGAAGGACAGATATAGAATGACTGCAATATAGTAGAAGACTAATATCCATGGCCAGGAAAAACAGGACTTATGAGGACTGGCCAATGGTTGGATCTAACCACTAGTGTATGTGGGGCTGAGGTAGGTAAGACAGAGAAGAGACCAGTATGATAACTAAATGTAGGTAAAGGTATATTCTTGATAACCTTTCAGTATCAATATTGTAAACCACAATGCCCAAAGGGGTGTGTGCGTGTGTGGGGAGAGAGAGAGACAGAGAGCAAGAGTCAGAGAGAGAGAGAGAGAAAGAGAGAGAGAGAGAGAGAGAGAGAGAGAGAGAGAGAGAGAGAGAGAGAGAGAGAGAGAGAGCGCTCCTGTCATAAAAGCAGGCAGGGCATGGGAGGTGGTGGGTGATGGGAGGAAACCTGGGACCATTGGTACTGGGAAATGTACAACGCTGTAACGATAGGTGTTTTTCCAACACCTATCCTTACAGTATGACCTAAAATCCACTCATAAACAGCTTTGTAAGGTCTATCCCACAGTGATACAGATATTCAATAAAAAAGTTAAAAAATCATTCAAAATGAAAAAAAGATCAGTTTGTACTGGTATTTTGGGTTATAAGAGAATGAACATTCATAGTTCTCTAGAAACAGTTTGGTAGGAAAGAGTTTATTTTAAAAATAATTTATTGCCCTAAAATCTTGTTCCTTTTCAAATTTCAGAACTGATATTTTGTGCTTGACTTAGAATATTTAAATAAAGTAAATCAGGGTATATGTGGTCTTGATAATTTTAGAGGATTTCAAACTCGTATTGCTTGTAAGAATAATAAGTATCATAAACCTTGCTAACATGTGGTATTTGTACATATGAAGCACAGCTATGATCTCAATCACTGATTTGGAAGCACAATCTTAGTTCAGAAATTGTTCTCATAACATACAATTTAGGTGTCTGTGTTTTGTTTTTATAGGAAAACTTACTATTACTATGTGTATGAATTATGAAATTCTGAAAACTTGGTGAAAAATAGTAAAATTAATTTTCTTATGTTGTTCCTTTTGAATTTATCCCCTAGGTCTCTTATTCGCCATTGAGCTATTTTGAGGTCTTTTCCCATTGTTTCTTGTTACTTGGATGCTTTCTGCAGCATCTTCAAGCTCACTGATTCTGTCTTCGGCTGTAGCCATCCTACTGTTGAGGGCACCCACTGAGTTTTTAATTTCATCTACTGAATCCTGTATTAGTCACACTTCTGTTTGTAGCTTTCTTATTTCTGCTCTCATTTCTTTCTGTATTTTATTTGCTGTCCGTTCCACTGTTTCTTTTCATGTCCTCCTTTAATTTACTGGATGCCTGTTCCACTATTTCTTTGAGTTCCTTGAGCATCCTCAACATTTCATCTCTGAATTCTTTATAGGAGAGATTGAATATGTAGGAATTCCCTGTTGAGGCTTCTGGGATCTTTTCTTCATCCACACCTTGTGGTGGAGATCTGCGCTGTTTCCTTGTATTGCTGTAGTAACGCAAGGAGATGGGTCCCTCCAGTTCAGTAGCACATGGAGGTGGGTCTCTCTAGTGGGGACACTATCAGTACTGGTTCCCCTCTCGCTGTGAGGGGGATGTTTTCCTTTACATTAGACTTGTTCAGATTCTTGTGTTCACCGTTATTTTGTGAGTTTGGTGAGTATTTTGATTGGAATAGGCTAGTGGACTATGGGCTTAATGTGTTTGGGTAAGCCAGGCTGTCCTTGTAAGAGCTAGGTAATGGAGGTTGCTATATGAGTCCAAAACACTATGAAAGGGGAAACTAACTGGCCTCATGAGTGGCACTGGCCTGGAGGCCATGTCCCCTCCACCTGCCCTCGCCCTGTGGGGGAAGGGCCCATTTTGGTGCAGGTCCTGGGTTAGAATTCTGGCCTAGGTGCTCATTTGAACCCCTTAGCCAAGAAGCGGTCCTCCATTTTACTGTCACTGCTTGCTAGTGCCTGGAGGCCATGCCCCTCAAATTAATTTTCTTATACTTTGCTTTAATTTTTTTGGCATAAGACCAGTATTAGGTCTTATAATTGAGGGAACTTAAAAAGTCTTGCAAAAGAATATGTTACTCTGAGGCTGGAGCAATAGCACAGTGGGTAGGGCATTTGCCTTGCACTCAGTCGACTCAGGTTTGATTCCTAGCATCCCATATGGTTCCCCGAGCACCACCAGGAGTAATTTCTGAGTGCAGATCCAGGAATAAACCCTGTGCATCGCCAAGTATGACCTCTCCCCAAAATAAAGGTAAAGGCCCTCCCGTTGATCGTCGATTTGCTCGAGCGGGCCCAGTAACGTCTCCATTGGAGACTTTGTTGTTACTGTGTTTGGCATATCGAATACTCTCGGTAGCTTGCCGGGCTCTCCGAGAGGGGCGGAGGAATGTTGGCCGCTTGTAAGGCGAACGCCCTACCGCTGTGCTATCGCTCCAGCCCATAGCACAGCGGTAGTAGCGGTAGGGCGTTTGCCTTGCATGCAGCCAACATAGCCGACCCGAGTTCGATTCCTCCACCCCTCTCGAAGAGCCCGGCAAGCTACCGAGAGTATCTCACCCACACGGCAGGGCCTGGCAAGCTCCCCAAAATGGAATATGTTATTTCAATTAAAATAGAATGCAGGACTGCTAACTTTATATATTAGGAAATGAATGTATATGTGGGAAATGCCTTTCCAAAGCTCATTAATAAGTGTCTACTTAATTAGTAAAAGCATCTTTATAATGACTTTTTTGGATTATTTTGTGTGTTGGTGCTCTCTTATTTGCACTTTTTTTTGCGAGGTGCAGTTCATAAGTGAAAAGATGTCATAGTCAGGAGACTGTGTAATGTGGTAGAAATAAGATTGAACCAGAAATTGTCATGTTTATTTTGCTGTTCATTTGTAGGGTGTTCATGTAGAGTCTTCTTCACAGCCAATTTTATTCCTGATTGAACCCAGAGGAAAAGTATTAAATTGACAGGGGTAAATATTTTATATTATTATTATGCTTTTTGTTGATGCGTATTTAATGGAAGCAAGCTTTTTTAAGAAACAAGTTTCCCTACCCACTCCTGGCCAGATATCTGGGGCCTAATTTCATTGTTCTGATTTTTTGCTTATTATTTTTCTATGTGCATCTGTAGGGATTGAACTAGGCTAGGTGATTAATTTTAATTCCGTGTCTTTATGTTATAAAAAGATTGGATAACTTTTTCTTAGTCGATAATTTTCATTTTCACTAAGGTTTTGTTTTTTAGCGAGATATGTTCACTTTGTCACAAAGGAATATTTGGAAATGTGTGGGAATACTGGGTTGGCACAGTGTCTTGGTTGGATGCCATTTTCCGGACTGGAAATGAGTGATGCTAAATGTTCCCACAGAACAGTCTTGATAAGGAAGGATTGTACTCTCCAAAAGCCAATAATGTTCAGATTGAGACGGCTTACCTAGTCTAACTCGAAGTGCAGAATGGTTTGATAACAATACAAACTGTGCTTCTGATCCCACCAATTTCTTGCATTCACTATGAATAGAATAACATTATGCTCAGTTAACAGATGGTTCAAATTTCTGAAGTTCTTCTTGTTCACAAAGTTCACTTCTGTCCTTTTCTGTTTTGTCACTGTCTTCTGGGTGCTGAGGTTGGACTACAAGTAAAGTGTATAGGTTGCAGGGTAAAAGTTTCTGCTCTCCTAGAAAAACGTCCCTTGGGCATAGTTTTTGTAGTTCCTTTAACAAATATGTGTAGTAGATTAGTGGTTTATCCACTGCACAGAAGGCTGAGAGTGACTAATTTCAATGATATTTTAAAAAATCTATGTATAGCAAGCCTTCTGGCTAAAGACATTAGTGTATTATGGTGGCGGCATATAGATTCAAATATAGTTTTCTGTCTTGAGGTGTCAGAAAGGCAAAATGACTCTTTCATGGTCTTTTAGGTCCTATTCTAGGAAGAACATCTTTTTATTCATTACTGTGGCTCACGTGGCTCTGGTAACCAGGATGTAAGAAGTGTATGAGGAGAAAACTTGGGAGCACAGTTCTGCAAATAGAGTTCTTTGATTCTTTGCCTCATCTGTGGTGTATAGTGTAAACTGGATGAAACGATGTAAGGAATTAAAGGGGGGGGGAGTCAATAACCCTTGACCCCAGAGCATAGAAGTGAGAAGGACACAGAGGGAAAGAAATAGGGGGGTTAGTAAGAAGAAGCAGGGTAAGAACAGGGCTCAGGGGACCAAGGACCTAGTAAGACTGAGAGTAGGAGGTCCAAATCAAAATGACCAATCTTGAAAATGTGCCTGTTAGGGAGACATGCTGGAGTGCAGAGAGGATTGGTTGGAAGAATGCCTGGGGACACTCCTGGAGGGAAGAGACACTGGTAGTGGTGCAGGAACATAATAGGCTATTTTTTTCTTTCTGGGTCACACCTGGCGATGCACAGAGGTTACTCCTGGCTCATGCCCTCAGGAATTACCCCTAGTGGTGCTCAGGGGGCCATAGGGGATGCTGGAAATCGAACCTGGGTCGGCCGCGTGCAAGGCAAATGCCCTACCCGCTGTGCTATCAATCCAGCCCCGAACATAGTAGGCTTAACATTGAACTCTAAGTAATTTCTCAATCCCAGTGTCTTAATAAAGAAATGAAAACTTAATATTTGAGACACAAGTTCAGTATCTCATGAGTTTTATAAAATCTGTTGAAAGAATGTACCACTAGAGACTGAAACTTAGTTTTTGCCAATACGTTCTTTATTTTTATTCGATGTGTTGCATGTAAATGATACATTATAAGATCAAATTCTAGTGTATTCTTAATGCATATTTATTTCTTTCCTAGATACTCCTAGAAGTATAAAAGCATCTACTGTTACAGCTGAAAAGTTTTTTCAGAAGCTGAGAAATAAACATGAGTTCACTATTTTGGTGACCCTAAAGCAAACCCACTTAAATTCGGGAGTTATTTTCTCCATTCACCACTTGGACCACAGGTAAGAGGCTGTTGGAGTGCCTATGCTTGTGTTATGCTGAGTTAACTGAACACTAAAGGGAAGTACAAAAGAAGAAACAGAAGATGCCATATGTATGACTAGTTTAAAATATTTAAAATAGGGTCTGGAGAGCCAGTACAGCAGGAAGAGCTGTTCTTCACACATGCCTACCGAGAGGGCTTGGTCACTGGCAGTGCGTTTTGTCCCTTCGGCTCCACCCTAAGTAAGCCCCGATCACTGCCGGGCATGGCCCCAAAACCAAGAAAAAAAAAGAAGGAAAGCAAGAAAGAGAGAAATCATTTCTAAAATAAACTTACTAATTGTTAAATTTGTAATGAGATAGTTTCAGCGTGCGAGCCAAGCACAATATGCTCTTTTGTTGTTATTGCTGTTTTTGTGGGGTCACACTCAATGGTGCCAGGGGCTTACTCCTGGCTCTGTACTCTGGAGTCCTGGAGTCACTTGGGGACCCATATGTAGCGCAGAGGATTGAACCTATCTTAGCTGTGTGCAAAGTAAGTGCCATAATCTCTGTAATTCTCCCACCTTCAGATCAGACTTTTTAGTTTGTGATATTTAATCACAGAAGTTCTATGTTTTGTTTCTTTAAGAAAGTGTTTGGCTTTTGTTCTTTTGGATGTGGACCAAAACAACCAGTGTTGGTGCGGATGTGGGGAGAAAGGGACTCTCCTTCACTGCAGGTGGGAATGCCGACTGGTTCAGCCCTTTTGGAAAACAGTATAGACGATTCCCAAGAAATTAGAAATTGAGCTCCCATTTGAGCCAGCAATACCACTTCTGGGAATATATCCCAGAGATGCAAAAAAGTCTATTAGAAATGACATCTGCACTTAAATATTCATTGCAGCACTGTTTACAATAGCCAAAATCTGGGAAAAAAAAAGAATGCATGAGAACAGAGGACTGGTTAAAGAAAGTTTGGTACATCTACACAATGTAATACTATGAAGCTGTTAGGAAAGATGAAGTCATGAAATTTTCATACAGGTGGATCAAGATGGAGTGTATCATGTTAAGTGAAATACGTCAGAAAGAGAGGGACAGACATAGAAAGATTGTACTCATTTATGGAATATAAAGTTACAGAATGGGAGACTCACACCCAAGAATAGTAGAGATGAGTACCAGAAGAATCAGTCCACAGCTTAGAAGTAGGCCTCACATGCTGGGGAAAAATTCAGCTCAGATGGAGAAGGGGCCACCAAGTACAGGGGGCTAGGAGGACCCGCTTGGGTTGGGAGATGCGGGCTGAATGTAGACTATAGACCAAACATGATGGCCACTCAATACCTCTATTGCAAACCAAACTACAACACCTCCCCTTCAAAAAGAGAGAGAGTCAAAGGGAATGCCCTGCCACAGAGGCGGGATAGGGTGGAGGGGATGGGGTGGGGGTGGTGGGAGGGATGCTGGGACCATTGGTGATGGGAAATGGGCACTAGTGGAAGGATGGGTACTCGATCATTGTATGACTGAAACGCAAGCACGAAAGTTTATAAGCCTGCAACTGTACCTCACAGTGTTTCACTAATTAAAAAAAAAAAAAGAAAGTGCTTGGTTTTAGTGTTAATAGCTGTAATTTTAACCATTGACAGTTTCTGTTTTCAGCATACTGCTTGGATTGCAGCAGTTACAGCTGTATTCTGTGATGTGTGTTAAGTCTAAATACTATCTAGTAATCTAGTATCTCCCAGCTTCTCCTGTGTGATTAGGAGAACTGGTGGGAGTACTGGGAGAAGGAGGGAGGGAAAGAAATTTACTCATGACACTTGGAATTTATATAAATCGCTACTAAGTTATACCAAACAGCTTAAAAGTGATTTCTTTATAAAAGAATAATATGGGGCTGGAGTGATAGCACAGCGGGTGGGGTGTTTGCCTTGCATGCAGCCGACCCGGGTTCAATTCCCAGCATCCCATTTGGTCACCTGAGCACCGCCAGGAGTAATTCTGAGTGCATGAGCCAGGAATAACTCCTGTGCATCGCCGGGTGTGACCCAAAAAGCAAAAAAAAAAAAAAAATTAAACAAATAAAAGAATAATATGTGAAACTTCCCTCATGTTAATTTTTTTATCACTTTCTTCACTACTTGTTATATGTGAACCTTGAGCAAGTCACATTATATCTGTGTGCCTCAGTTTCCTTATTTTTAAAACCAGGAAGATAACATCTACTTCATACGTTGTTGTGAAAAATTTTGTATACGTATAGAACTGTTTTATATTATATATAAGTATCACAATCATATATATAATAAGTATATATAAGATATATATAGCATGCATATTTAGATATATGATTGTTTTATGTATGTAAATTTATTTATATATGTAGCAGTTTAACTGATCTGTTAAGATGATGGCAGAGGTTGCTTAGTGAGGTAATGCAACCCAAGACTTTGCAAATTCTTTTCTCATACTAAAGGAGGGCATAAGCATATGTGTGTAGTGAGCAAAATATGGCCAGTGGACATAGAGATCAAGGTTTCTTAATCACACTCTATCTGCTTTACTCCCAGCTCTTCCAGGCCTTCTTTTATCCCATCTCTAGCTCTAACGATTGGCATAACTTCTTTATTTAAAACTATTTATTTATTTATTTGCTTTTTGGGTCACACCCATCTATGCTCAGGGCTTATTCCTGGCTCTGCTCTAAGGAATTACTTCTGGCGGTGCTCGGGGAACCATATGGGTTGCTGGGAATCGAACCCGGGTGGGCCGTGTACAAGGCAAACACCCTACCTGCTGAGCTATCGTTCCAGCCCCCTGGCATAACTTCTAAGGCACTCACTTGGGTTTCTTTTCTCCCAGATCTGGAGAGGAGGTGCCATCTTAACACTCTCTTGCTAATTTGCTTAGGTTCATTTTAGGAAGACCAGTTTTTATCTCAAGGATTTACCAGGCTTCCCCCTTGGTGAATCCAAGGGAAGACTTTATCATCAGGCTGTTTTTGTTTTTTGTTTTGGCACCAGAATCTGCATATAATTAAGGAAAATTGTTCCTTTACAGAATTTTTCTATTTATCATCATTTATTTCTTCTTGCTAAGAAAATTCCAACTTAAATTTTGGAGACTAAATTTTGGGACCAGCCAGATACAAGGTGAGCACTAGGCCCTGTACTGTCTCTCCCATCCTAAGCACTCAGTTGTTTTGCTTTGAAGCTCCCATTTACCCCCAGTGCCAACCCCATCCTATTTGTAGGAACGTGAACTTGTCCAGACTTCTTCCAGACTGCAAATTCCTAATATCTACGATGGCTCTGCAGCTTCCTGTATTAACCTTTTTACACATTGTGGACTTTCAAAACTGTGTATTTCATCAGCTTTTCTTGAGATTTGATTGGCAGCACTTTACTAGATCTGCCCTCAGTTCTGCTTCCCTCGGTCCGTATTTTTGTTGTTTCCCAGAGTTGAATATACTAACTCTACAATGTTTAACCAACATGAATTTCTTTCAATCAGTATTCTCTTTTATAATAATTATTGAAATAACTTGAAGAATTTTTGTAAGCACTAAAACATAATAGATTTGAACTATTGAAGTACCTGAACTTTGTCAGGTATTCTTGATGAAGAATCCAATGAAGGATTACCAGTTGTCGGGTGGTCTCTTTCAGGGTTATATAATTGTTTTAATGATATATTTTCAAATTTCTAATGGTAATATATTTTATTGTAAAAATATAGAAAAATTGCAAGTATAAATAAATAAAGAAGTTCATACAAGTCATGCTTATTGAAGTTTGAAGTTGGGGGAGAAAGCAATGCCTCTCATCGTTCCCCCCTAAGGATTGCTTTAGTTATTCAAGTGGATTTATTGCTCTATAGAAATTTCAGAAGTGTTTTATCCATATCTTTAAAAGGGTCTTGGTATCCTTATAGGGACTATGTTGAGTATATATAATGTTTGTTGAGTATTGCCATTTTGGTAATAGTAATCCTCCTAATCCATGACCAAGAGATGTGTTTACCTTTACCTGTGGCTTTAATTTCTTTGAAGTATGGATTTGTAGTTGGGTATTTTTCTTTTGGATAGATATTTTACCTCTTAAATTGAGCTGATTCCAAGGTACTTGATTTTCTGAGGCACGGTCTTGAATGAGATTGATTTTTAATCTCTCTCTCTTCTATTTTATCCTTTGCTTATAGGAAAAGAAACGGACTTTTGCATGTTCTTTTTTGTAGCCTGCCTCTTTGAGGTACAAGCCTATTGTTTTTTTATGAGCTTTTATGAAGAGTCTTTAGAGTTTTCTAAATTTAGTATCATAATCTGCAAGTAATGAAAGTTTTCCTTCTTCCTTTTCTTATCTGGATACCCTCGATATCCTTTTCTTGCCTAATTGCTCTGGCAAGTACTTCCAATACTATGTTGAATAGAAATGGTCTGAGTGAGCAATCTTGTCTTGTGCCTGATCATAAGGGGAGGGACTCTTTCATTTTAATCCAGCTTATTTGTCTCTCTGTGTAGCTTATTATATATTTTGTTTGGCAGTCCCCTTAGAATAATTAACTATGCTCCTTTTTTAAACTTTAATAAACAATACCATGCTGAATATATTTATGAAAGAATCTTCTGTTAAACTAATTTCTGAGTGAAGAGCCAGGAGTAACCCCTGTGCATTGCCAGGTGTGACCCCAAAAAGAAAAAAAACTATCTTATTTATGGCTATAATTTTTAACTTCATATTTATTTTGTGCCTTATTTCACCTATTTTTGGTACTATCTAGAAGTTTGATGACACATATAAAAATGCCATGTTTATATATCTTTTCATGACATAAAAACTTTCATTTACATTTGTAAGTTACTTGTTTTCCTAGTAGCATTTTTAAGGCTTTCCACTTGCTGGCTGTGTTTATATCACTAGCATTTGATGGGGCTTATGAATGGAAATATGGAATGCGTTTTTCATTCCATACTCTGCCTTTACAGTGTGACCTTATACATATTAAAATTTTTTTGATCATCAGTGTCCTGT